GGTACATAGATATGTGGGATGCGGCAGCAGTAGCCATATGCAGTCTTAACTGCCTATTTTTGTTATTTCATCTGTCGAGAAACCGTGTGTTAAAGGGTTCTATCAAACTTCTTGGTGTTCTTGGGACACATTGAAGATAATTTGCCACGAAATCACCACAAAAACCTTAGGAACATAGAACAGGGAATAAAGAACACGGTAGTCCACTGATAAAACGATTGGAAGATTTTACGTAAACGAGAATTGAGGGTTTTCAATTGGTGATATTTCTTGACTTAAGTATAAATAGAAGTATTATACTTGTTGCTATAGAAGTATTATACTTGTTGCTATTGCCTCTTTAAAAGTATATCATACCAAGGAAATGTGTACGAGGGTAGGATTTATCCGATGCTGATTATTCCTGGCAAGAGACGCAAGGTAAAAGTATCGAAATAGCTTCAAAGGCTACCAGCCATGTCAAGTCAGGCGAGAAAGCTGAAAGTAAAATGGACAGAACAAATGAACAAAGATGTTTTGGAGTGCAAGAAAAAGGCGCTGGAGCTTGTTTCTTCGGAGAATCCTCCTTGCAATGAGAGTGGAAGGAAGAGAGGATATATTGGCGTTATGAAAGAGTTGTGGGATGATATGGGATAGAAGAACTTACATTTGAAGAGCTAAAACTTACGGGACCAGGCTGCATAGCTTTCATTACTATCGTGCTAAAATAAAGGCTGTCTGTCTGTCTTTCCAGGCTAGAGAAAATAAGAGATAATGGAACAGACCTAACCATCAAAGAGAGAATAGTCAAGGATTTGGGGAATATTACATTTACAAGTGAATATTCTAGTAAGGAAAATATTGAAAATGAAAGTCAAAACAACCAAAAATGATAGAGAAAATCGAAATGCTAATTATCCAACAAGAGGCTTGAATTTACATAACGCAGAGCCACAGCAAACCCCAAAGGAAAGCAGAGCTACAATGGTTGATTGGCCGGATGTGTCTGATGGTGTTCCTGGGTGTTTACCCAATTATAAGACTGTCAACTTGCCATTATCGGTTATTTGGGGCCGAAATTCCAACGGGGAAATTATAACAATCAGCACTGCTACGATTGATGATGCATACAATGAAGTAACAACTTGGAGAAGAAACACTTTTTTAGTTCCAGACGGTAAAAATGGTCGCGACTTTATTGACCAGTTAACGAAGCACATTGACGATTGGAACAATAGATCACCCATGCAACACCTTGCGCTAAAAGCCGCTATTGATCTTCTCGCTGTTGCGCTACAAAAGCCTGGTTAGAGGTCGAAAGCAAAGGAACATCAAGAATGTCTTGAGAAACGATTAATACTGTGGAGAAATGGCGAGATTGAGTCCCTATTACGCGAAGGGAGAATGATCCAACGGCGCTTATCAAAGTCGAATTAACAAGAATGATCCACCAAATAAAGCACGCATTTTTGCAAAGTTGGTCATGTAGGACCAGATTAATTCGGCCTGCGATATCTCAGTCAGGATGATAGCGGAGAAGTATTACCGCTGACCGCCGATGTTGTGAGACAACTGAGAAAAAAACACGCTGATGCGCAGAGGGCCAAGCTAGGGTCGATGATGTTCGGGCCTGTGGAAGATATACCTGACTTAGTGTTTCAAGGGATTAATGAAGAGCTTGTGAGAGAAGCTGCATTAAGAACTAAGGGGTCTGGCGGCCCCTCGGGTGTGGACGCCAATGGCTTCAAGAGAATCTTGACATGCAAGTCTTTTAAGAGATCAAGTATCAACCTATGTGAGTCTATAGCTACACTCACATGAAGACTGTACACGGAATTTGTTGATCGGCTGACCATTGAACCTATCATGGCCAGTCGCCTTATTCCGCTCGACAAGGGTAACGGCGAGGTGCGCCCAATTGGTGTGGGCGAGGTGATTAGAAGAATAATTGGCAAATGCGTTACAAGAGTCACAAAACAAGATGTGATCAACGCTTGTGGGGCCATGTAGGTCTTCGCTGGTCAAAAGAGTGGCGGGGAAGCCGCAATACATGCCATGCGCAATATCTTTGATGAAACTGATACCGCCTTACTAGTTGATGCCTCCAACGCCTTCAATTCACTAAACAGAGCGGCTGCGCTTAATAACATCAGAGTGCTATGCCCATTGATCGCCATCTATGTAACTAACACTTATCGAGTTCCTGTGCGCCTTTTTGTGGTTGTTGGTAGTGAGCTTAAATCTGCAGAAGGAACCACACAGGGAGACCTCTTAGGTATGTCAATGTATGCTACAACCGTTAATGTCGTTACTTCAAAGTCGAAGTACTGCAAAACAATGCTGGTTCGCGGATGATGTTACTGGAGCAGGATCCCTAGAAGAGGTTAAGCAATAGTGGGATGACTTGAGAGATGCTGGTCCGACCCTTGGATACTATCCTAACTCCAAAAAATGCTGGCTTGTTGTTAAGCCGGGAAAGGAAGGCCGCGCGAAAGAAATGTTTGCAGGGACTGGTATCAACATCACGACCGAGGGACGCAAACACCTTGGCGCTGCGCTGGGCTCTCGGTCTTATCTTGAGCAATATGTGGGTAGCAAGGTGGAAGATTGGGTGAAAGAAGTGACGAGGTTGGGGGAGTTTGCAAGATCTCAGCCACAAGCTAGCTACGCAGCATTCACATTTGGGCTTCGACACCGGTGGACGTACTTTATGAGAACACTGCCGGATATTGAGAACCTACTGCAGCCTTTAGAGCGTGCAATCTCGGATGTACTTATACCGTCGCTCATAGAACGTAACTGTTCTGAGGAAGAGCGTAGTCTAGTAGCATTGCATGTGCGTATGGGAGGCCTTGGGCTCAGTAATCCATCTGATACTGCGGATGTGGAGTATTCAGCGTCTGTTCAGGGGTAAACGCTCCACTTGTAAGCAAAATAGAGGCGCAATCCCATGAGACCCAAGAAAAGGCCGAGGTACAACGACTGGTTTACGTCACCCGGAAAGAAAAGGATGATAGAATAAAAGAAAAGCTTGAGGAGGTGAAGGCCTTATTGCCAGAGAGAGAGAGCCGTAGACCTGGCCTGTGAAAAAGGCGCATCCAATTGGCTTACAGTTATTCCTCTCAAAGACATGATCTCTACAAGCGGGAATTTCGGGACGCTGTGACACTTCGATATGATTGGCAAATACCCGATAATCCATCAGTATGCGTTTGTGGGAGCTTGTTTACAGTGGATCACGCAATGATCTGCCAGCGTGGAGCCTTAGTCATTCAGCGCCACAGTGAAGTACGCGATGTACAGGCCGAGCTGCTTGACATGGTTTGTTACGATGTGCAGGCCCAACCGGCTTTACAACCTATTACAGGCGAAGAATATGCCAGAGGGACTATCCTAGCCCATGACGCACGCCTCGACGTCCACTGTAGGGGTTTCTGGGAGCGACCGAGGGCTGCTTTTTTCGATATAAGGGTGTGTCATCCCAATGCAGACTCACACAGAGATCTTAGCCCCAAGCAGATTTACAGGATTCAGGAAAATGAAAAGAAGCGAAAATACAACTCTCGTGTCACAGAAGTAGAGCAAGGCACTTTCACCCCACTGGTATTTACAACGACGGGGGAGATGGCTGACGAATCCCTGAGGTACCACTCAAGATTAGCCGAGCCATTATTTGCAAAAAAGCAAGAGAGCTACACCGCAACAATTTCATGGGTCAGGGCGAAAGAGTCCTTAGCAATTTTGCGGATCGCGCGCCAATGTCTAAGGGGATCTAGAACCCCGAGAAGGAGGAACTTAGACATTAAAGACAAATACCTGGAAGTAGAGAAGGGTCGAGTAAGACTTCCTTAAACTCATCAGTTATAGATTATTTTTATTATGTTTATAGTAAATTTTTCTTATTATTCTTTTGCGTTGAACTATTGAAGACTTTGTATTTCCTTTGCCAAGAGACTTAAAGTAAGATATAGACCACCTAAGCAACACATTATAATTTTATTATTCATAGCCATATAATTATGTAGTTTAGGCTAGTGATATTTTTTTCTTAAAAAGAGAATTGTAACTTGCAAGATTTTTTATTTTTACTTTCAGTTTTATACACTTTCATGTTAGATTCCGGATTGTATGAAGTTACTCAATAAAGGTTATCTTGTCCAACAGAAGTCAGATAAAAGACATCGTTATTATACTCGTATTCGAAAGGAAATTCTGTGGTCTGATTGGTCGACCTACCCTACTTATAGCCCGTAAAAAAAAAAAAATGCGCTGTTTCGCCAATTGTGAATCAGTTTGATCTATACAAAAATAAAACACAATAAAAAAAAAACAAGGAAAAACTTTTAAAAAAGCAGTAGTATTGCAGTCTCTATCAAGAGAGTGAAGACCAATAGACAAGAAATACTTACCACCCATTGCGAATGCAAAGGACTCGGGCCTAAAACCCCCTAAACTATCGCCATCCTTTCGAAACCTCGAGGTCTTCTTCTTCTTCTTCTTCTTCTTTTAGTAAGCTAATCGTTTAATAGAGAGACATTACAATGCAAGCGCTGGTCTCTGTTCAGTTCGTTTAGTAAATAGGAGTGTTAGCTTGTCGTGTTTTTAACCAGTTTTTTCAGAAGAATCAGTAAGAGAGAGAAGTCGGTTTTTATAATCTGTTCGCTTACCCGAATCTGCTAACCTGAAGCGAGAAACCTGTTTTTACGACCCGCCACAGAAGTAAGTTTCCGATCATGTTTTTCTTGAATTTTGCCACGAGATCATGATTAAGACTTAATTTGTGTTTTACTGATTTCCAATTACAAATGTATTTCTCTTAGATCGAATAATTATTAAAGCTTGGATAATATTATACGATTTATGGTGGTCGTCTGAGCTGACCAGTTCCGAGTAAGGAAACAGTCTCGACCGAACCCTAGAACCCTCTCGACAAAATGTGATGGGTCGTGTATAACAAACATGCACGGCCTGGTAGTTTGGGTCCCAGTGAGATCTTAAATTAGCTTCAATGACCCACAAGGTCATATCGTCGAACAAAAAGAGCCCTTCATTACAATTATTGTGGACGTTCCACAAGTTCAAGTTTAATCAACAGTGCCTGTAGTGTTTATATACATCCTACTTCACTCAGTCATTGGTTACGGTTCGATCGGTTGTGGGAGGAAAAACAAAGAAGCTCGCTGAAGAAACGAAATCGGACGTTTTTTTTTGGTACGGTAAGTGGTGGCACTTTCCTTCGGTTCATGTCCGTGAAGTCTAACAGGCGTGCCGATTACAAATTGATTCGCGTCTGTTTCTTTCATGAGCATGCCACGACTGTTAACTTCACATTTACCGGCAGTAAATCTTAGCCTCAGATCTGCTGGTGCGATTAAAGTATAATGTCGTCGTAAAGTTAACCTATAAGCACGACTGCAAATCAGGGACGGTGTTTGTAATATTCGCCAGTGTTTTAAGCAACTTCCATATCATTATCAAAGTTACTGAACTGTCCCCTCTAAAAAGAGTTGCCATTAACACGATCAGTTGGAGTTGATGATTTCCTCAGGGCTTTTTTTAAACTCACCCACGCACGAAAGGTAAGAAAATTAAGAGGGCACTGTATAGTTTAAAGCCAGCCATTTTCCGTGATTTAATTCCACGCTCGACTTACTTTACGACCTTGATGTAGGTAATATCGCTTGTTGTGACAAAAAAAAAAACCAATAATTGATCACGCGAGCTGAACATTTGATGTTAAACGCCAAATCTTTCTTGTTACACGGTGGGAGCAAGAATTTTAGGTTCTTAATGCGAGAGCAAACACACAAAAGTGTTTTTCTGAAAGACAATCAAGCATGTACACGTTCGAATCTTTGAGTTTTGTGTTGTTCCGCTTACAATGTTGCAGACATTATTGTGACATGCAAATACGCGTATGGCAGTCAGGCGACAGATACGATGACGGATAAGGAATTTTATTACCGCGGGCTAGCCCACACAAACTATTTGTATTTACGGCTACATAGAGCTTCTGAACATAATATGGGATATGATAATACCAAAAGTTATGATCAGTAATGCTTGAATAAGAGAGACGCCCAATGCTTCAGAATTGCTCGATGCATTTACATTCTTTAGTATTTAAATCTATTTTCCATAAGAAGAGTTGATATTACGATAAAATCCTGTTTGCTTTTTTTTTTAGACAGATTTAATCCTTTAGTCCCTTTACTGTAATTAATTGGCTTCAGGAAATTTTAGCTTGATTACTTTTGTTAATGATGCTCGAAAAGTTTCAGTTACATAGGGGCTCTCAAGATAATTCGATTGGCTTTCAAAAATATTTACCATCGTAATGCCAAGACTGAAGAACGCCGTAGCTTTCAAAACACGGCACAAGCTAACAAGAAGATAATTTCCTGATAAGAACTTGACATTTCGCGATTCTTGACAAACGAAAATGGCATGGCCGTGAACTTAACGTACGGTTTGAAGGGCAGCTGAGTGCTAGTTTGGTGCGAATCATTTAAACCGTGACCAGCAAAGTGCAACCTAGACTGACGGGTTTTCCTAACTTCTATCTTTTTGTTTTGTTTTTCTTCGCGAAAATGAAAAGAGCAGCTCGAGTTACTTTTCCACGATCCTTTTCCTCAGATTTCACTGATAACGATGGAACAAAACTCAGAGTTTAATTCAAATACTGTCTTTCAACCTGGCTCAAAATCGGAATGCAGTCGATATCAGAGTGGAGAAAAAGTGCAAAATAAAGAAGAGCACGCGTTCTGTTCTCAAGCCTTTTATCGACTCAGTTTTTTTCTCTGTAGCCTGTGAACAAGTGGATCGAAGGCTGACGTCACTCGCACCTAGCCACGCCTCTTTGGTTTTTCTTTTCCTTCTCGCGAGTGACCGATGGCGACGATTATAGCGCTGGAATAGAGAAGAAGGCTGAGGATAAGAAAACGCCTTTCCGATCTGATGAATTATTATCTTTTATTAAAATCGAAGTAATTTAATTTATCTCCTCATTTCCTTCGATCGTTAGACTTTGACATGATGAGCGGAACCAAGGACAAGTGTGAGCTGTTGATAATAGCTAATCTGGCTGAGCAGGCAGAAAGATATGATGGTGAGTAACCCATTTTATTTCTCGTGCGTGTTTTAGTCGAAAAGCGTTCTAAGTCTCATCGTTACATCGCTAATGGGAACCAAGACTTATCTGAATTGTCGTAATTTTAGCAGACTTTTCATTCTACAGCTGAGAATAAACGCTATTGATAGACGCGCCTTCTACATTTTTTTACTTAAGACATGCTTGAAGCTATGAAAAGCATAGTGGTAATATCTAAAGTCCTGGAGACGGAGGAGCGAAATATGCTGTCTGTCGCCTACAAAAACGTCATCGGTGCTAGACGTGCAGCGTGGAGAATATTCAGTGGCCTTGAGGTAAAGCACGAGGAGGACCCTAAGAGCAAAAAAACTGCCACAGAATACAGAGAGAAAGTAGAGAAGGAGATACAAGAAATATCTTCTGGAATTTTGAAACTTTTAGATGATCATCTCATACCGAACGCTGACACAGATGAGTCTAAAGTATTTTTCTATAAAATGTAAGTGAATTTGAGTTTAATCAAATGGGTGATATTTTAATGTTAAGGACCACTCATCGTTTATCACCGTAAGAAAAAACACGCTGATGCGCA